TATATATATATATATATATATATTGTTTTTTTGTATGAATGATTCATGAATTTATAAATTATAATTGAACTTTTTAATTGAAATTAAAATAACTGATCCAACGTGCAACTCTCGGATAATAAGTGTGACATTACTGTAATTATTGAACAATATAGTTCATGCCACATTGACGGAAAATCTACCAGTAAAAAAGAATTCTCTTATTACTATATTTGTACAAAAACGCACAACCTTAAAATTTAAATTCAAACTCAGCGTTGCGACCGCACGTTCCAAAACAATAACACATTTCTCAGCATTTTTTCGGATTACATCTATATTTTCGTTGTCCTCTTATTACCGAGAAGTAAAAACAAGAACAAAATCTATTTCCATACCTGAGGATGTCTGTAGGAACAGATGAAAGCTTGTAAAAAATTAAAAAGACCTTATGCAACTGGAATTTATTAACAGGGATCATATCATTCATATACAGGTTCGGGGTTGGTGTATCTTATTTATATTGTTTGCGAAGATGTATTCTCGCCATTTAAATCATTAACCTCTATATTTGCTTTTTGTATGAATGATTCATGAGACGATCGCAAAAGCGTGAAACCCAGGGTCACAAACTCTCATCTATCCAACCAAATATGTTAGCTCTATCTCTGATATTGAGCGCTTTCTAATAAAAGTACCATATATAATATATAAATAAATAATATATATATATATATTTATATTTATATATATTTATATATATATATATATATATATATATATATATATATATATATATATATATATATATATATATATATATATATATATATATATATATATATATATATATATATATATATATATATATATATATATATATATATATAAAAATCTGAGATGAGGTATTTTGATTATTTGAATTATTTATATTATTCGAACTGTTATTCTCATTTTCATTACCACATTCACAACATTTTCTCTGATTTTCATCCTTAAGGACACATGGCCCAGTGGATAAAGACGTTGGTTAGATCCAGTGACTAGACACAAAGAGTTGTGAGTTCAATACCAGACTACAGCAGTGGTGAACCAAACTGAGAGAGTTGAGTTAAATAACTGAGACATCCGGAAGAAGCATAGCACGTGGAATTAGAACAATCTAACCTGGTGGACGAAATAAAGGCTTTGGTTCGAAATTCCAATGACCGGAAGAAGAAAGCCGGTGCGTGCAACGGCCGAAGAATATGTCAATGAAGATGAGTATTACAGTTCGAATAATGTATATATATATATATATATATATTTATATATATTACCAATGGCATTCCTGATCATATCATTTCTCAACTAGATACCTATGCTGCGGACACAACCATTTACTCCTGTCTCGAAGCTAAGTCTGGTCAGTTCGATCTAAAAATGACCTACAGATTGTTGTTAACTGGGGCAAGGAATAGCTTGTTAATTTTAACGCTTCCAAAGCGAAACTTCTCTCTTTTAATCACCTGAAAGGACTCTTACTGCTTCTCGTCAGCATAGCTGATAGTAAACTCCACGAGAATAACTCATTTCGCCTTGTCAGGTTAACATTTTTCCCCGACATAATATATATTATATTGAATCCATTTCTAGCTCTGTTACTAAGGAGGTTGGTTCACTGTTGTACTAAATAGTTTTTTTTCTCTCCAGAAACGTATTTATAAGTAATATCGTTCATGAATTGAATATTGCTGTCACGTCTCGTTCATTGTTCCTGCTGTATATTGGGAGATTCTTGATAAAATCCAAAGAAGTGTCAGCAATATTATTGGTACTGACCTGGCCTCTCAGCTTCCGTCACTTTACCACCATCGTAATGTAGCTGCCCTGTACCTTTTCTATAAATACAATCATGGTAATTGTTCGGTTTAACGCTTCGCTGAGATACCTAGACTTTATGAATTTAAGCGCAGTACTAGATTGGCTGCAGGGTCTCATCAATTCACAGTTTAATTGGATAGATGTAAGCGCAAGTTCTATGATAACAGTTGTGAAACTCTCTTCCGGCTACATGCTTTCCAGCCAACTTTGATCGTCAAAAATTTAAATGCGTGTTCAATAGTTATCTGCTGAATACTCTTCTATTGTCTTCGCTCCTTAATAATGTTTCTCGTTTTTCTTACTCTTTCACATTCAGTAAGCCCTTATAACCGGTATATATACATACACACACACACACACACACACACACACACATATATATATATATATATATATATATATATATATATATATATATATATATATATAAACAAATGTTTGGAGGTACAAAATTTATAAATAGTTTTAAAACTAGGAAACCATTGATTTTAATATTAAAAGTCTCTAGAGCCCTTTCAGCCAACATCTCATCAGGAGACAATCGTTGGATTAGCGAAATGAATAATAGCGATATTGTAGAGCAAAAAAGAGGGGGAAACACACTAAAATGTTATGTGGGCGTACAACCTTGCATTTGGAAACTAGAATTAATCAGCACGTTCCTTTCAAAATACGACTTGGTAAGATAGATAGAATATGCTATCTTCCCCCATGAATATGGAATCGGCTATTGCTCAACATTTAGTTGAGAATATAGCTTGTTAAGTTGTATAAAAAAAGAGTGGTTTAGAATTATTCATACAGCCGATTCCAATAATCATTTGAAGATTTTGGAATCGGTCTGTATAGATTTAAAAACCTTCTCTCTGCCGGCAGAAAGAATTTATAAGGTCTCTGAATCTGTTGGGGGATATTTTATTTTAACTGTCCCTCGCTATTTATTTACACGATAACCCTTCCCTCGTTACAAGTATATATACTTGTTCGTTATTTTAGTGTGTTCCCCCCTCTTTTTTGCTCTTCAATATCGCTATTATTCATTTCGCTAATCCAACGATTGTCTCCTGATGAGATGTTGGCTGAAAGGGCTCTAGAGACTTTTAATATTAAAATCAATGGTTTCCTAGTTTTTAAAACTATATATATATATATCGGGTGTAACAGCAAAATTGTCCGTGTAACAGCAAAATTGTCCAATTGTTAGATTAAGTTTTGAACCGCTGTATCTTAGAAATGATTAAAGATATCTTACTGGAATTCTACAAGTTTTCTTTATCACGATTGGACTCTACTTTGAAGAATAAGAATCAAGTTGAAATGATGATCCCTCTTGCTGTTGTGACCTGATCCAATTTTCCTCTCTACTGTTCCCTCTTTTTTAAACTTATTCACCGTTCTCTTGATGGTTCTTGAATGGACTTTGAAAATGGAAACCAGAGTATGAGTTTTGCCACTATTAATGAAGGCCTGAATGATCTTTTTCCTCTTACCATTGCTCAGTTGGAGAAGACATAGTGGGGCTGACACAAAACGATTTTAACCTGTCCTCTTTCGAGCTGAATAAATGAAACGGTTTTCAGTGATTCTTACGAAAAAATGTTGTCAAGATGGCTAACCATGTTATCTGAAAACCCAGGCAAATGAAACTCAATTAGTTCAGTGGTTCTTTAGATAATAAACATTTTGTGGGATGGACAATTAACGCATGCTGTTACACGATTTGGACACACAGACACACACACACACACACACACACACACACACACACACACATATATATATATATATATATATATATATATATATATATATATATATATAACCCAGTAAATTTAAAATACGTTACTCCAAAATTCGCTTGAGGATGAAATGGAACTAATGTCTTTAATTTAATTACAAAATTAAATTCCAAGCTTTTACCTTCCATTTTTGAAACATGGTTAGAATTGTGTAGCGAAAAAAAACATATTTTAAATCAGTTAATTTATAATATTAATGGTCTGTAAATTTGTGTGTGTGTGTGTGCCCGCGCGCGCATATATATGTGTGAAGGCATTAATGGGTAGAATAAAATATCAGTAGGGAAGAAGTTGAAAAAAACACGAGGTCAATCTTCATTTATGTGCTTTGTACCCCCAGAATGTGGACATCCATAGCTCCACATAGCTTCCTATTCTTTGTAGCTCTAAGTAACGTTTCTCCTCTTGCCATCACTCCCAGTCCTCTCCCTGTCATTTATTTACTCAAAACTCTTTACGTAGGTTACTCGATCGTTCCCTTTAACCCTCTTCCTGCCACTATCTCCTATGAGTGCCAAATTCTCCAAGCCTTCGTTGATGGGTCTCCACCTTTTCCTGACTTTTGTAGCTCTTAGCAATTTTGTCCTTTTGCTATCTCTCTTATTCCATGTTCTGCCAACCAACTGCACAAGCTTGTTAGGTAGGTTATGTTTTGATATCTTGTCTTTTTGCACTCAATATGCCCAGTGTGTGTTAAATTCTCTAAGCCTTCTTTCCTCAATATATATCCCTAAATTTTTAACTCTTTCTGATTGTAAGTATAAGCGTACTTTTTTGCTTCCATTTTCTTGAAAACGTCCTTGTTTCTCGCATGCCACAACCATGCTATTATCTGCATCCCTCTGTAGAAAGACATCTCCGTTGTCTTAGTTCTTCAACTGTGACATTCATTGTCATATAGGAGCTTTTATATTACATAAGCAGCTAGACATTCTTTTTTTCTGATAATGTTTTCCTTTTTCTTAATATTTTGCTCATTTTTTTGGTAGGTAAGCAGGTTGAAAAAGAAAGATGTTCTATGGGAAGAGAAGTGAAGGGGAACATGGAAGAATGGGGAGAAACTAAGATGCTAAATGAGGAGGAGATGCAAGACACATTAAGGCAAGGAGGAGGACGGGATTAAAGAGTTATAAGAGATTGGCAGGGAAAGCAAGATATAGATGTGGACGACATTAGTGTGCGACAAGATCGAAAATTTAGAGAAGCAGCATAAATATTTGAATTACTAAACAGGATCATTCTATTATGCAAAAAAAAAAAAAAAAAAGAACTTGTTGGGTACCGAGTCATATGGAAATGGAAAAGATTCCATGGCAGCAAAGGGATCCTTAAAAATGAACATTTCAAATTTGAAATCCCCTATACAAATGTCGTAGGTGGAGGAGAGTCGAACAGCAGAGTCGTGGGCGGAGGAGAGTTGAAAAGAAGACTCGTGGGCAGAGGAGAGGTGAACAGAAGAGTCGTGGGCGGAGGAGAGTTGAAAAGAAGACTCGTGGGCAGAGGAGAGGCGAACAGAAGAGTCGTGGGCGGAGGAGAGTTGAAAAGAAGACTCGTGGGCAGAGGAGAGGCGAACAGAAGAGTCGTGGGTGGAGGAGAGTCGAAAGAAGACTCGTGGGCAGAGGAGAGGTGAACAGAAGAGTCGTTGGCGGAGGAGAGTTGAAAAGAAGACTCGTGGGCAGAGGAGGAGGAACAGAAGAGTCGTGGGCGGAGGAGAGTTGAAAAGAAGACTCGTGGGCAGAGGAGGCAAACAGAAAAGTCGTGAGCAAAGGAGAGTCGAAAAGAAGACTCGTGGGCAGAGGAGAGGCGAACAGAAGAGTCGTGGGCGGAGGAGAGTTGAAAAGAAGACTCGTGGGCAGAGGAGAGGCGAACAGAAGAGTCGTGGTCGGAGGAGAGTCGAAAAGAAGACTCGTGGGCAGAGGGAGAGGCGAACAGAAGAGTCGTGGGCGGAGGAGAGTTGAAAAAAGAAGATTCGCGGGCAGAGGAGGGCGAACAGAAGAGTCGTGGGCGGAGGAGAGACGAAAAGAAGACTCGTGGGCAGAGGAGGGCGAACAGAAGAGTCGTGGGCGGAGGAGAGTCGAAAAGAAGACTCGCGGGCAGAGGAGAGGCGAACAGAAGAGTCGTGGGCGGAGGAGAGTCGAAAAGAAGACTCGTGGGCAGAGGAGAGGCGAACAGAAGAGTCGTGGGCGGAGGAGAGTCGAAAAGAAGACTCGTGGGGAGAGGAGAAACAGAAGAGTCGTGGGCGGAGGAGAGTCGAAAAAGAAGACTCGTGGGCAGAGGAGAGGCGCACAGAAGAGTCGTGGGCGGAGGAGAGTTGAAAAGAAGAGTAAGGTGTAAAAAGTATAAGGAGATGTTATTGGTGTAATAAGGGGAAATAAGATCAGAGGATATTGATAGATAGATAGATAGATAGATAGATAGATAGATAGATATGAACAGATTGAGATAGATAGATAGATAGATAGATAGATAGATAGATATGAACAGCTTAAGAGCGAGAGAGAGGGAGATAAATATGAACAGCATAAGATAGATAGATAGATAGATAGATAGATAGATAGATAGATAGATAGACAGAAAGTAAGAAAGACAAAGACAGACAGAATTAATGCAACTATAAACTCATACATTCTAAACAAGTGACAAAAGTTATGGAGCTATTACACAATAAACTTCACAAAATTAAACTAATTCTCGGCGTATACTGTAATTGAAACATATTCTAAACGATTGTAGTGACCTTGCCACTATACTTTTTTTTTAAGTATTTCACTCCAAGCAAGGCGGGATGCCACTAGTTCGCAATGGGTAGCGAGAGTAAAGAGGTGTGTTGGAGGAAAGGATGAATAGAAGTGCAGAAAATAGTTCAGGGCATCTGGAGATGGCGATTGACATTACATTTGAATAGTTGGAGATTACAGCTATCAGAGGAACACATATTAGGAAGGGAATTCCACAGACTGGTGGTGCGAGACATGAAGCTATTGGAGTAGAAGAGACGGCCATATTTAACCGTTTCGACAGTGAAAGGGCGGGACCGAAATGCCAACCTAGTAGCACGTTTAAAGTCATGCAGTCTGGGAACTAGCGAAAGTAGCTCGTCGGAGCAGTTACCGTGAAAGTATTTGGAGAAAAGACAGAGGGGGGCGACGGCACGTCTGTGAGAAAGCGACTGAAGACGAGATGCCAGATCAGGACCAACCACATTGCTTATCCGTCTCTCGTCAATGATTTTATAGCATGGGGGGGGTCATATTCAAGAAGATAAAGGTAAAGAACTCTCCTAGTCTACTTGAAGGAGATTGGTCCATATTATAAATTGTAAACAGTACTCTATAACTCCGTTCTAAAGGCGTAACTGGAGAGAGACGTAAACAACGACCCAAGCTTACAAGCCATATATTTTAAAAATTCTTTTCAGTATTAAATAAGCAACAGAACAATTAATCAATCCAAGAGACAACAGAAAATGGGTAGACAGAAGAAATGGCTCAAAATAGAAGAAAGTAGACTAGGCAAGAGATTGTTCAATTGATTTGCTTTTTACGGTTTATCAACCCTTGTAGTTTATTCAATGCAGAAACATGTTTTAAAATGTAAGAATAACTCCTTATTTTTTAGCGAGTAACTACTGCGTTAAAAATCTTTGAGAATAAAACAGTTTCTTCCAGATACAAATCTGACTATTTAACCCATAGCTGAGGCAGAAGATGGTTTCACGTCTTTCCCAAGGTCATTTGAGCGTAAGTGAATTTATGAATACACGACTCGAATTCGAACTCAGCCTTCCGATTTCTCATTCCGAACCGCTATCCATTACACCGCTCGCATATCCGCGCGAGAAGGAAAAAAGGGAGTGCAAAGTTAAAAAGTAAGGTGAAACATAAACATTGTGAGTGGGTGAGAAAAGAAGAGTCGTAGGCGGAGGAGAGTCGAACAGAATAGTCGCGGGCGGAGGAGAGTCCAAAAGAAGAGTCGTGGGCGAAGGAGAGTTGAAAAGAAGAGGAAGGTGAAATAAGTGTAAGGAGATGTTATTGGAGGATGAGTTCCATAGATAAAAGCCAGGCGAAAATGGTGTAATAAGGGGGAAATAAGATCAAAGGATACTGATGGAGAGAGAGAGAGAGAGAGAGAGAGAGAGAGAGAGACAGACAGACAGAAAGTCAGAAAGACAGAGATAGAGAGAATTAAACAAAAGAGAGAATATTTATTACTTTCTATTAAAAAAAATGATTCATATCTTGTGTGCTTGTGCTCGCAGTCTCATGCTGTTAATAAATCGATTTTTGACACCGAAATAATATCCTCCAAGCCGGCGAATAAATGGAAGACGTTGTCACTGTTGTTACCTGTCCGGAAAGTGAGGAATTCGCCAGCGAAAGCACGGAAATCCTGGAAGCGATGGTTGTGATGCGTAGTGGCGAGAGTCGGTGGGGGAAGGATTTTTGTTGAAGGATTTACTAAGGTGGTTTGTCAATGGCCAGTATGTGGCGGCCTATCGTCCATCTCGTCGTTTCTTTAATTCAGAATGTTGTCGGCTGGACAGTGTAGCAATAACATCACATTTCTCCACTCCCACCGGCAACGCCAATTGTATTTGATGGTGTCAGTGTCTCCCGACTGGCCACTAAGAAATATCTAGATTACTTCGTGTAATGAATGATTGGCAAGTCAAATATTCGCTAGCCAGTGACAAATGGCCATATAGTTTGCGATGTCGTCTTTGTCACGACCAGAAGATCATCCTTTTTAGAATAAATGCTGGGTATGGAATATTTTTCGAGATTATTTCCTATATTAAGAGGACAAGTTTTTTTTTTTTAGTTTGAGCCATAAACAATTTCTGCTTTCGTTTACCAACTTTATTCTTAAAAGCAAAATGCAATTGCATTTTATTTCCTTATATATCCACCATTATTGTTACCACATCGATAGGTTTTCAGTTAAATTCTGCGGGTTTTCTTATGAAAGGCAATTCGACAAACTCTTGAATCTAGTTTTACATTAGATATATTTTTCCCATCAAAGCATTTTGTGACGATCGAAAAACTTAATTAGCGGTTGGTGCAAGGTCAGGTGAATATGGCAGTTTAGTTAGAACAGATGAACTGATTTTCCAATTTTTTCCCCCGTGTGTTATTCTTGCTGTATGCAGCCCTGGGCTGGCACAGAGGAGAGTAACATTTTACCTATTGACACACACAGGTCGCTTTTCTTTCAAACTTTTATGGACACGTTGCAACTGCTGGAAATAAAAATGTGAATTTAGTGTTTCATTGCCAACATTAAGACATGGGTTTTATGTTGGGTATATTAGGGATCAAATATTTATGTCCCAGCGTTACTTTCATAATGTGATGCTCTCTCTCACTCAGTAATAATAATAATAATAATAATAATAATAATAATAATAATAATAATGAACTCATTCACGGGGTCCCTGGCAGCCCATAGATTAAAGAAATTCAAAAGATTGTTCTCACATCCTACGAGGGTTTTTATCTATGTAAAATGCGTGTATTTTTAGGGTTGAAAATGTCATGACGCCATTTCTGACTTTCGGTCCCTGGTTTGGATTTGGACATAAAAGATTATAGAATAGAAATAAAAGGAAATAATAATAATAATAATAATAATAATAATAATTGAGGTTTGTCCCCCCCACCGGCCTTCGTTAGTTCACACGACCGCTACACCCTGCCAATACCACATAAATAATGTACTATTCTGTTTTAATCACGTGGAAAGCGGGAAAAGACACCACTTGGTTTCAGTGAGAGAAAGAAAGAAGGGAAGAGTTTAACAGCGAAATGGGAAAAGTGTTTCAGTGAAATGGGAAAATTTGTCAATTTCCAATCTTTTCATTTGTATTCACTTCTTAAATTAACGATCAGCGACAAACAAAACACATATCATAGGCGCTACTTGATTTCAGTGAGAAAATGATAGATAGATACGAACAGACTTTAGATAGATAGATAGATAGATAGATAGATAGATAGATAGATAGATAGATAGATAGATAGATAGATACGAACAGACTTTAGATAGATAGATAGATAGATAGATAGATACGAACAGACTTTAGATAGATAGATAGATAGATAGATAGATAGATAGATACGAACAGACTTTAGATAGATAGATAGATAGATAGATAGATAGATAGATGAATAGATATGCGAACAGACTTTAGATAGATAGATAGATAGATGGATGAATACGAACAGACTTTAGATAGATAGATAGATAGATAGATAGATAGATGGATACGAACAGACTTTAGATAGATAGATAGATAGATAGATAGATAGATAGATAGATAGATAGATAGATAGATACGAACAGACTTTAGATAGATACGAACAGACTTTAGATAGATAGATAGATAGATAGATAGATAGATAGATAGATAGATAGATAGATAGATAGATAGATCCCTTTAACAGCTTTTATAGTGAAATGGAAAAAGTTGTGATAAATATTTAAAAAAAAAAATGACCATTTTCTATCAGGTTGATAAGCACTGGATTATAAAACCCGGCATGGGTGAAAAGGAAACTGCAATCACATGGGAAGAGGGAAAAGACTTACATAAAGGTAAGTATTTATAGAATTAGGGTCCATTTATGAACACCACCGTCCTGTAACAATTTGTGTGACTTTACAATACTCACAGACAGAACAATCAATGCTAATCGCCATGGCATAGTGATCAGTGCCTGTTTATTGATATGGCAGTCGCAACTGGTTGTAAAGTATCTTTGAAGGTCTTTAAAAATTATCAAAATACAAGGACATTGAAATAGAAACCTCTTAAATGTAGCACATGAAGACATCAACAACTCCAGTTGTAGTTGGAGCCCTCGGGCTGATGGGAAAAGATTCGAATAAACTCATTGAAGGGATTCCTGGTGGTCCACGCCTTAAAGAAATACTAAAACTTATACTCATAAGTACAACCCACACCTTACGAAGGTCTTTATCTATGTAAAATGAGTGTGATCTTAGGTGTTATGTTTTTTGTTTTGTTTTGTTTTTTTCCTCAAAAAATGCCCAGTGGAAAATGTCATGATGCCATTTCTGACCTTAGGTCTCTGGTTGGGACCCGGAATGTAATGGGTATACACCAGAAATCAAAGGAAATAAAATGACAATAATAATCATTTATAACAATAAATAGTAATATATTTAGGTGGCAAGTAAAAGATTTGATCTAACCGTAGACCTTAACAACCTCAGCAGTAATGACTTCCCTCTGCCATATCATAAATACGGGCATTTTTATAACATTTTAGGGTCGACATTATTAAGTAGAACATAAGAATTGCTTATTTGCCCGCGAATAACTGAAAATACGGAAAGCGAAGCAGCGGATAGCGGGCACCTCTGTTCTTTATAAACAGAGATAAAAAGGCTTTAATTTGTTTCGGTGTTTCAAATGTATACATAAAGGTAAGTATTTATAGAATTAGGGTCCTTGTGTACAAATGCTTTAAATGCTTCAGACTTTGAGATTGTGATAATGATCGCGGTGTATTGTTGGTGAAATTGCACCTACGGTCACACCCCCACCTGTGTCCTATGAATTAATTTTTCTGTTAAAAGGGCCTTGTAGATAGATAAGGTAAGTATCTACTCAGGTGTAACATAAAGAAACGGTAATCAGTGTCTTGGCTCTCACCTCGAATTTACGCGAGTAAACAGCCTGGCTGGTGGGGGGGGGAGGCTCTGAATTGAAACACTTTCCCGATACGTGCGACCTCTGTTGAGGCAGGTTGAAATACAACGTTGTACTCCGTGACTCATAGAACTTGCGTGTTTGGCTCAGTTGTTAAAGCAAAGAACCGGTAGGCGAGTGGTTAGAGCATCCATTAGGCTATCAGTTGATTAACTCGTCACCTTAAAATACACAGACTTATAGGATTTAGCTTGATGGATTGATTTGATCTTTTTCGGCTTATCAGGTTATTTAAAGCCAGGAAATAATTTTTAGATTGTAAGAATCTGTTTGAAAATGATTTTACGGATACAAGCTCTGGTAACTGACCCAGAGCTGTAGTGGTAAGAGGTGGATTGAATCCTTTGGAACTCGGCTCTCCGCTCAAATATTCGAGAAACAGAGCAATCTTGTTACAAACAAAAAAAGAATGATGATCCCCTATATAATATAACTTCTCTCAGATGGCAGTGAATACTGGACAATTTCGTCACATATGAAGAAGCCTGCGGCAACAGAGATGTAATTCTATAGAAGGTTGCTGAGAATGCCATGGACAGAACATGTGAATAAACGAGAAAGCTTAGGAATAATCGAAAAAGAAAACGCTTATACTTAGAAAAAAAAAAGAGCTAGCTGAAATCTCTGTGACACAAGATGAAGAAAGTAGGCGTGGAGAATATGACACTCATAATATATTGAAGGCAAATGGATCAAAAGGGAAACAACGAATAATCGACCTAATGTGCTCGTATAAATGCTATTAGAAATATTTTGTTCTTTTTACTATACCTGTGTATAGTAAGAAGGACAAATTATTTCTAATAGTTTCAAAAGATAGGAAATTGTGGAGAGGCATGATCATCCATGTCCTGAAAGGATACGGTACGTAAAAGAAGATGAAAGGTGAAAGAACAAAGATTTCAAGAAGGACAATAATGATGCCAACAAGAACTTAAATAGCCAATGGTCCACAGGAATTGGCGTTTTTTTTATTATTTTTTTTTTTTTGCAGATGTCTTTCCACGTATAAGTATACAATTTCAACTGGGACTAGGTTATAGATATTATATGCATGCGGACCATTGTCTTCATCTTTGTTGCGATTATCATAACGTTACGGCCGTTGTGTCCCCCAGCCTTCATCAGGTTAAAACAACAACAAAGATAAGCGCAATACCCCGCATATAAATAATGTACATAGAAATTATACTGGTATATCTATCTATCTATCTATCTATCTATCTATCTATCTATCTATCTATCTATCTATCTATCTCAATCTGTTCATATCTATCTATCTATCTATCTATCTATCTATCTATCTATCTAGCTAGCTAGCTAGCTAGCTAGCTATCTCAATCCGTTCATATCTATCTATCTATCTATCTATCTATCTATCTATCTATCTATCTATCTATCTCAATCTGTTCATATCTATCTATCTATCTATCTATCTATCTATCTCTCTCTCTATCTATCTCAATCTGTTCATATCTATCTATCTATCTATCTATCTATCTATCTATCTATCTATCTATCTATCTATCTATCTTAGTTTGTTCATATCTATCTATCGATCGATCGATCTATGTATTTATCAGCTCACAAAGACAAAATATGTTTATGCTAACAGATTTATTATTATTATTATTATTATTATTTTCTTTGATTTCTGTTTGCACATTTTTTCCGGGTCCCAACTAAAAACCTAAGGTCAGAAATGGCCTCATGACAGTTTCCACAAATCATTATGGTACGCCCCCCGTAAAATCACATTCTTTTTTCATGGATAAAGCTCTTCGTAACTGGAATTATGGATGTCCCCATGAGTCACATT